TCCAGTAATCGCATTCCGGACGCCAGGTTGTTTTCTACGCTGGTTTTGTTGTGAGGTGCTCTGGTGCCACCATCGCGAGTCCTTCAAACTGCTAGTCAACCGTGCGTGGGCGCGGCCGCCTCGGCGTTTAGTCCTCTGAGTTGGTCTCGCCTCGCAGCCAGTCATTATTTAATCTATTTATTATTGTCGGTAGAGCGTAGGATGTGAGCGGCACCGGAAAGGCAGAGCGCGAGAGCGAGCACAAAGTGAGAGGAGGCAGCGGCGCGCCGGGCCGGCCCCCTCCGGCCAGCCCGTCGCTACCTCCAGTCGGACCCCACCCAGCCCGTATGCAGTCGTTTTAGAGAATGTAAGACTCTCTGGTGTAAGTGAATAAATAGAGTAAGTGAACGGTGCGTTTGGTACGATTCTGGATGGAACAAGGTGAGGATAATGCACGAGAAGACTGACGGGGCGGATATTTACAGGTACGCAGTGGAAGATAAATGTCATTATCTATGCCTGCACGGGACAGAACAGTTCAACGTGCATAGCGCGGCATTCCCATCAAGTGCCTGGGTCTTCTCAAACACAGCCCAGCATTTCCAGCAACCCACGGAGACCTGGCAACGGACATGACTGCAGCGCGCCAGCCTTCCGCCCGTTCATGACCATTGCAAATCCAGTTCAGCAGGCGCGTGCACGCCCAATGTACGCCAATGGCCGCGAGCACGAGCGGCCCATGGCCCTGCAAACTTGTCCAGCGGCGGCCCCCGTCGGCTGAACTATGCCGACGTTTATGCGTGTCGGATCGATGACTATGAAGAGCGACCCCTCGTCACGGGGAGGGGGTGGGGAGGGTATAACGGGGGTGGATGGGGGGGGGGAGTCGCAGCTGCCGGGTCAAGTGCTGCGTTCACTGAAAGGAGCGCGATACATCCGCCTATTCATGCGTTCCGCTGCAGCGAGACAGCACGCTCCCCAGCGCGGCCTGACCTCGTATATTATGGGTAAATCCACCACCCTTAGGCTACAGGCCACTAGATAATCGACCATAAGTTCATTTGCCTTACCAGGTCACCAGGAGTTATGAACATCACGCCTTCTAAAAGAACCGCACTTTAGGTTTGTTAAGTAGCCGCTAGATGGCAGCAGTATACATCGCCTGTGGAGTATACTGTACCGCAATACAGAAACGAGACTGACACGAAACTTCAGCAGACAGCCCCAAAGTAACGGCACCTATCCGTGCTTCTATCCTCAGGATACTGAAATCCTTTTCCTCCACGCCACAGCCCCCTTCCGGGCTGGGCAGGCAACTTTATCTCATGCGGGCTGCTCCCTTGGAGCGGCACCGTTGCTCCCGAGGGAGCGCACCCCGTAGCCGGGTGCAGTGAGTGCCTTGGGGCTGGGTGGCCTGTCCTCTGGACGGGCTCAGCCCCGGTGACTCACTAGGGTGCCTGCCCAGACCAATGTCTCCCCCTAATTCCTATCATCCTTCCGGCTCTGCAATGGTCTTGTCGACCGAAAGGGCCTAACCCAACAAAAAAAAAAAAAACAAACAAACAAACAAACAAAAGTAACGGCACCGTTCCATGCTTCTATCCTCAGGATACTGAAATCCTTCTCCTCCACGCCGCAACCCCCCTCCGGGCTGGACAGGCAATTTTATATCATGCGGGCTACTCCCTTGGAGCGGCACCGCTGCCCCCGAGGGAGCGCACCCCGTAGCCGGGTGCAGTGAGTGCCTTGGGGCTGGGTGGCCTGTCCTTTGGACGGGCTCAGCCCCGGCGACTCACTAGGGTGCCTGCCCAGACCAATGTCTCCCCCTATATCCTATCATCCTCCCGGCTCTGAAATGGTCTCATTGGACCGAAAGGGCCTAACCCCCCCCAAAAAAGTAACGGCGAAACGGAATGCTGGCGACGGATGACTGACTTGGAAAGAGACGGATATGAATGTGGTAAACATCAATGACAAATTAGCTTGCAGGTGTCTTGCACGACGACATCCAAGCAATAGACGTCTTTCAACAGCATTGTCCAGGATATCATCAGTCTAAAATCTATATCATAAAACCTCAGATCATAAGCAGGCGAAACATTTCTTTACTAGGTAACTCAACCGAGTCCTACCAAGAATTCCAGGACCAAGTTACAAGTTTTCCACCCTCCACAGCAAAAACCACATCAACTTGTGAATCGCATATTTCTGTTGTGCGATAAAAATCACCCGACCTATGTATGTATCCGTCTGACAGAGCTCGGGGTACTCCCGTCTCGGCGAACGGAGCATTCACCGGGGCGGTCGGTAGGCGGAGGGCTAATTAATCAGCCACCGGCGCACCGGAGCCTAACAACACGCTAAAACCGCTGATTTATCACCAGCAGATAACAAGGAGCGCCCGAGGATCCGGTGGCGTCGACCGGCCATAATGATCACGCCGAACGGCACGGCGGGCGCCGGCAGGAACCCGTACCGGAGGCGCCGGGCAGTGGGAGGGCACGGCACCAGGAGGAACCCATACGGGGGGCGCCGGACAGTGGGAGGGCCAGGCGCCGGCAGGAACCAGTACCGGAGGCGCCGGGCGGTGTGGGGACCACGCCAGGAAGGAGGGCTAGCCGCCAGGCCAGGGAGAGGGCTGGTCAGGCTAGGCAGCGGGAGAAGCAGGGCAGCAAAAGGAACCAATACCATGGTCCGGTTAGGCATGAGAAGGGCCAGGTCAGATATGAGACGGAGAAGGGTTAAATCAATTCCACATGAGAGGAAGCTCATCAAACATTTACTGTGACATCAATGGCCAGGGCCTTTTACGCACTATTTTAATGATTTATTTAAATAGCAGTTTGACAGGAAATGAGCCGACGAGCCAATCAACTGGTTTGAATTCCCCGGCCTCATCATCCAGGGAAATAGCATTACGACACCAGGCACGTTGCGCTCGTTAGATATGCATCTACCAAGGACTTAAAGCCGCTTACTGCCCTTGCTGCTTAGTGGAAACTCAGTTTGTGCACTGACGAAACGAACTGGCATCTACTTATCAAAGTATGCTACACTGTTTGTCACATCATCTTCACAAAAAAGACGTAGCAGTTCCATGTGAATGTATTGAACACTGGATACGAGGATGGCAAACATGATGGATGGCGAGGGATGAACATGCTGTTCCGTATGCTGCCAATGATGACGATGAGTATGACGAAAGAGGCCAGCATCACAGAGCGAAGGAGCGGCACAAGGCATCACAGACGTTCGAACAGTGAGTTTCGTGTTGAGATTACATATTCACAGAGTAACGAGCCGACGCGACGCGGTCTCCCCAAATGGCAGTACTGGTTACACACACGAGAGTTATACACAAAGTGGTTAACGTGGCCAAACGCAATGACTTTAGCGGCGGCCAGCTTCCTTCACACAGACAGGTAGGCTGGAAGACCCCCACAGCGAAAACAAACCGCCAATCAAGGCAAGTCGCGGCTCAGTCGAGGCACATTTTATCACAGCGTTAGTCCAAGGAAAGGCTCACCAAACTACACAGCTATCTATGCATTAGAATGTAACTTTACCAGGCACAGTTCTTGCAATTCATCACTTTGTAGCAAAACGGTTCGTATGCGATCGCAACAATACAGAATAATACAAGTCTAAAACATTTCGATCGTCACAATAAGATCGGAGTATTAATCGGCAAATACGACGAAGAGTACTCCAGAGGCCAGACATCAGCAAAAAGCTCACACGGCAATAAGCTCGCCTGTCTCACACACGCTCTTACCATCGAGACTGCTCTTACATACTCAGCGCAATCAATGAATAACATCGCGTTATCGACATTTTATTGAGTATTAGGTGACGGATGCCTCGGAAAACCGGGCAACATGTAAAAATAATGACAGCTTCCTGTGGTGTGATGCCAACAGCCCAGTGCCCATCGGACGATAATTAAAGACAACGACGCGTGTTGATGAGTGCAAAGTCCAGATACGAACGATGCGAAGAATGAACCGAATATGCCTCATGGTACAATTGACATAACGCGAAAGGCAATACAAAAGGTCACGATAAGTAATTCCGAAAAATAAAACACAAAACCCAAATTTAAAAGCAAAACGTAAAACACATAGCTCTCAAGTGACGCTACTGATGAGTATTCGGAGCGCTTACCACGCCGGAATCTAGGAGCAGCCATGCAGGCGATGCACTGATGGATAATCGCGGTCCAGATGTAAAAAAGCAATGGCAGACCACCGTGTTTTGTGCTCTTTCTGATGAAGGGCACTTGTGCATTTTCACCAAAGAAGGTACAGAATCATGTGAAAGTGAAGCCTCCTTTCGTTATGATAACGTTAAAAGAGGCATAATCTCCAGCCAATGGTATGTAGCGATTAAGCACATAAAATAGCGCGTTAAGGCTGAAACAGACTCTTTCCGCGTTCAGGAAATCGCATGCGAGAGCCTATTCAAATACATTGTAATTCTTCTCGCATCAATCGCTTGCGAGAGGTGCGTGCGCTTGATGCGAGCGTGCTTCCATGTATTTGAATAGGCTCTCGCATGCGATTTCCTGACTGCGGAAAGAGTCTGTTTCAGGCTTAAAAGAGTGATGACTCTATCGGTTCCAGCTGAGTAAGGGGATGGGGAGGACCAATACCGTTTGTGTATGGACCAGCCCGTTCCAGTCACTCCCAGTAGCTCTGATTGGGAGGCACGCCAAACACTTCCACCAGGCGAGTCCGGGTTACTGCCGTCCGAACCAGTCCCTCCCTTGTGGCAAGTACCTACCCAGTTCGGACACCCCTCCTCTGAACGTACGGAGAGGAAAGGGCGTACCAGAGCCAGCGTCACATGGCACGTGAGCACCAACAGAAAACTGCTCCGTTTGAGCGTACTCCATCCCTCCACGGCATATCAAGGTGCAAACGACCACCCCGGCAAGACAGCCCATCTCCAAACGACACCATATCCCAGTGCTCCCCAGACCCCGCCTTTCCCTCCCGCCCGGCGCGAGACCCTCGGTCGCCCGCCCGCCCGGCGCGCAGCCCTCGGTCGCCCACCTGACGCCGGTAGATCGTCACCGCTTGGTGCGTTTCTCGGCCGACTGCGACGCCGACTGAATGATGATCCGATTTCGCTGTCGTGTGACGCGCGCGGCGGGCGCCGACGTCGCCGGCCGGCTGAGACCCGACAGTAGCATCTGACGCAGCCGGTTCGGCGCAGACGTGGGCGCCAGTACCGGCTCTGTGGGGTGGAGCCGGGAGGTGGGGTTATACACGGTAAAAGGCGTGCAGGTGCGATGCAAAGCGTTCAGAATGCACATGGACAAGCCGTGATGTGACAAACCTACATATACACATGTAGGCACACCCACTACCTACGTACGTAGACACGTATGTATGCATTCTTAGCTTTAATCTCTCTGTAAGGTGTTGGTAGGAAGCCCAAGCGCAAATCACGATGAAAATGACGGATGAATGGAAAGGAAAATAGACGATATTTATCGCACGTACTGACACTAAAATGCCCCCACCACCTATCTCATTTTATTTTCCGCGGTTGTCCATCCCCTGCCCCAAGAGACCGCAAGCCCGAATAGCCAGACCCGTGTCACGCGCCAAAGACACGGGCACCCCGTAGTTTCACTTTCCGTAAAGTGTATCGACGCAACTCGATACTTTAGGAGCCTTATTGGAAAGGCAGATCACAGACGGCCAGGCGGCCACCAAAACAACGACGGACAACCAGCTCACAGGGACAGTCAAACTCAACTGATACACAACAGTGTTTGAAAGGAGCACACAAACCTGTCGAGCGGCATGTAAATGGGCAGAACTCGACGCGAACGATTCTCGTTCAGACACTATCGAACACAAATTATACAATAAATTGCATCGAGTGGTCGAATGAAAGCCAAACACCGCAGACTATCCGTCCCGTTCTGGCCAGACCGAACCGTATCACTCGTCTCTGTCCCTTCCTCCGGCGTACCTGGCGCGCTGCTGGCGTCGCTCGGCGCCCGGCTGTGAACCAGGGGTGCCGGCTGTACGGCCGCCGCCGCCGCCGCCGGGTCCAGCGCCATGCCGTGGGCGGCGGCCGCCGGCGGGGGCGGGGGCGGCGCGGCGGCCGCCAGCGGCGCGTGGCCCGAGCCGCGCGGACCGTGCAGCCGCCGCCGCAGCTCGTCCCGCTGCCGCCGGTAGTGGCTGCGCTCGCGCATCAGGTCGTGAACCATTCGCTGGAGCCGCTTCAGGCCGCGCACCTGCTCCTCCGTCTGCGCCTGAAAACGAGATGGGACGATGTAAGGCGAGGGACAAAACTGCGACGGCAAGAGAGAAGCCCGATAAACAAATTAATCTCTCATTCACTGCTTCCCCGAGCCAGAGTAAGCTTACTTAAATCCAGCACATTATGCAGCAGCAAAGCATCCACCTTTGAACCTTCCTCCCTGACTTCCCCGTTGTCCACTCTTGCTAGTCTTCAGCACTTCATGCTTCCTCTCTACCCTCCCCTCCACTCCGCCTCCTCACTAGTCACTCACATCCAAATCAGCCACGGCCAGGTCCTTCTCCCGCCCATCAATACGCTGATCCACCAGTCTCTGAAAGGTCCTGCAGTAGAGGAGCCGCAGCTCGACGGCGGCCAGTCCCAGCAGGCGGGGCATCAGCTGGCGCTGGTTGAGCAGCAGCCGGCGGCCGTCCTCTGGCGCCGCGCCGCCCGCCAGCCGACACGCCTTGTGCTCGAGCACCTCGTCCACGGCGTGCATGGCCTCGTCGAGCTCGAGTAGCCGGCGCGTCTCGGCCGCGTCCAGTTGACGACCCTGTGACCCGGGGGGGGGGGGGGAGGTCACTGTCATGGCTATAGATGAAAATGAGACTACTGTTGATATTTGAGAAGACACCTAACATTTTTGAAATGGAATATAGGTACATTATACACATGTAACGAGAAACGACCTTGCCAGCTTACGACACTTACATACGAACGAGGTTGGACCTATCTCGCTCTCCTTTTCGATACCACCCAGTCCTATTGTTTTGCAGAGCTGACATGCCTCATTCCTCGCTTTACGGTTCATCCCACGAGCATTACGAGTTACGACCTTTCCTACCCCTTCCCGTCCTAAACCCTCCCATCCTAGGCTAGACCTGCTCCTCCTCCCCTTATCCCTCACCTGGTGCAGTTTGGAGTTGATCCGTCTCCGCTGGTTGTGCAGCGACTCGCGGCACTCCCTGAGCAGCTGGATCTCACGGCGGATGGACGCGGGGTCATCGGGCGCGGGCCTAGCCGGCTCCGAGTCAGCGTCCGGGTCGGGCGGCTCCACCGGCTGGGGAGGGGAGGCACAGCGGTCAGGTCAGAGGTCGGTCGGCTCTACAGACTGGGGACGAAGGTCACAAGGTTCAGGCCAGAGGTAGACAAGGGAGGGGTCACAAAGGTTAGAGTCCAGTCAGAGGGAGGCGGGAGACAGACAGGAGAGAGGCAAGAGACAGAATGATCATGTCAAGTCAGACATCTTCGTTTTGAAAAAGCTGGTCAGATCACACGTGGCACTTCTCTGTTTACAAGACCAAAGCTAGGCATCGGTCAGAATCGAGTTACCATTTACCCAGCGTCGCACGACAGAACAGAAAGCAAATCATTGCACAAAACACTTCATCCATAGTTCACCTATCGCTTCCAGAGCATGTTATATTTACCTTCATATATTCGCAGTACAACCTACAACCCACAGCCCCTCCCCCTCCCCTTGAGACGGTCAGCTTCAGCTCCACTCGCCCGGCGGCGCCACCTACCGTGTCGGCGGCCGGCGCGGCTGCCGGCTCCGGCGGCTCGGGTGCCGCTCCCGCCTGTGACGGAGCGGTGGTGTCCGTACCGCCTGTGACCTGCTCCCTGAGCGCCTCCAAGCCGTCCGAATCGCGCAGAACTCTGTGCGTAGGGTAGAGGGGAAGGGCAAGTGGGTGAGTGAGTGAGTGAGTGAGTGAGTGAGTGAGTGAGTGAGCGAGTGAGTGAGTGGGTGAGTGGGTGAGTGAGTGAGTAAGAGGGAGGGAGTGGAAGACGAGCGAGATTACGCGAAACCTATCAACAGAACACTGTGCGATAAAAAACAACAACAACAAAGAACACGTAACATATTCGTCATGAGAGATGCATTACGAGTGAACAATGAACATTGATACACAAAGACATCTTTACAGTTTCTACACTGAACTTACGGTCCAGTCTTTGCGACCCTGATATTCAATTGGACATCTCACCCTGTTCTCTCCATCAGTCAGCCCACCACCCCGCACACCCCGCCTACCTGAGGTCCTCCTCAGTGCACGCCTGTCTCCGGCGCCGCTGGTAGGGGTCGGAGGACGAGGAGGGTGAACGTGGCCGGGCGCCGCCGCCACCCTGACAATCACACAGACACGGTGACTTACTGAGGTACAGAACGGGGGTTCGACGGTAAACACGCTTGAAACAGCGAGAAGGCCTGACCAACCTGACCAAGGCCTGAGCAAGGCCTGAGCTACTAACATATCTAAATATTGCCTTCTTGAACTAGCTATGTGCTTTCCTAATTATTGAAATTATTGATTCTCACTTAGATGGTTGGGTAAAAAACTCCAACATATTAAATTTATCTAAGATCCGTATGCAAGCGGTAACCATCAGGTGCATTCAAAGCGTCCACACAGCCGACGTACCAGAGGCACCGCTGACCGGTGTCCCCTTCTCCCCAGTTCCCCTGACATCTCCCAGCACCCCGAGACGCCCCTCACCTGGTGTCCCGCCACTGTGGCTCCCGAGGACCTGCTGCGCTCGAGGGCCGCTTTCGGCTGCGTCTCCCTGTCCGTGGAGACGCCCGAGCGGCGCTGGTCCTCTCCCCGCTCCGGGAGATCGGCCGAGCCGTGGACGGTGGGACCGCCGTCCGCGGGGGGTCGGGGTGGGGCCTCCTGGGGACAGAGAGGTGACAGTAGTGAGACAGGGAGAGAGGTGTGAGAGACCGCGATACACCTGAAGACAGGAACACATAGAGAGAACAGGAGAACACCCCGCTACACACCGAGAATAGAGACACTAGAAAGAAAGAATGATAGCATACAGGACAAGCATCAGCCATGCGCTTTCAGAAGAAAGGGACTTCTTACAAGTCACAGGCCTTGGCACATTGCAATTACTGATAATCATGCAAAAGTAAGAACAACATTAGGATACCAAATACCTATGCAGTGGAGATCACTGCTAAGCTAAATCACTGACTGTCTGTCCTACCTTGCCCACCAGCGCTGCGTCCACCTGCTGTACCCTGCTCTGGGGCGGGTCGGCGGCGGTCCGGGCGGCAGAGGCTGCCTCGTGTGGTGTGGACGCATCAGCCGGCTCACCGATCACAGCTGCCGGGCACAGAGAGGGAGAGGGGCGTCGTCAGAAGGGAAAGGGAGAGAGGGGTCAGTGAAAACTGGTAGGCGGTGGTCAGGAGATATAGATCCAGTCAACCCTGACAGGGCAAAGTCGGCCAACACAGCGCAGGAGCGGCGCAGAGGATGATAGGATCAGATGACTGAGTCGATTGAGACGGAGGACGTAACTTACAAGAAGTGGCATACCATGAGAAGGCGTTTAGAGGTTCTGATGTCAGGATCACAGCCGAGCGGTTCGAAATATGCAGTACCACCTGTTTGTCTCCTTAACGCAAGATAATTGACTGGATACCGATAAATAGTCCGATACACTACCATCTAAACCGATAAGTCGGGACATGACAGACGCATGACTCCGTATTATCTTGTCGGCTGTGAGATTGAGGACAAACTCACACAATCTCGACCAGGATAAGCCCTGTGTCTGCCACACAAAGAACTGGGATAAGAGATACAAATAGTTCCGTGAGCTTTAAATTAATAATAAAGAAACACGTACGGACGTGCGACAGAGCGCATGATATCACGGAGCAAAGGAAGAAATGAGCACCGAAACAAAGTCTGAAACTGAGACAGAGGCAATGCAAACTCATTCAGTCGCAGCACAGCATTTGTGCAGGAGTCTAATACATTTTTTTCAAACGATTTCAAAATTTCAATGATCATTAAAGCTGAATATTGTGTTTAAAGAGTCAGTGGTCAATAGCTCTGTGGAAGTTAGATGCCGTCAAACACACAATATCATGAAACATAACCGATATGGACTGACCATGTCACTAACGTAGTGGCTATGTGCGTGCGTCTGTGTGTGTTGGGGGGGGGGGGGGGGGGGAGGGCTGAGAATCTTAATCACTATAATAGTCACCCCCACACTCACTACACTCATGGTTCCTGTCATCCGTCATCCACCCCTGACGCCCCCGAGCCGCGCAAGACCGGCGCCCCGCGATCATCTGACAGTAGTCAGGAGCTGGGGTCGACTGTGCCGGTCAGTGAGATAGAAGACAGAGGGGGACGATCCTTACACCACCGGTCTGGGACAGAACAGCCCGAGACGTCGCCGGGGAGGAGCATAACCAGTGATCACCTCTCCGGTGACGGCGCGGGCAACAGGTCTGGGCAGCGGGCCCGTCTGGATACTTGATCTCGGAGAGTTCGTGCACATAACTCAATGACAGTGCTTGAACAACTATAAGTCACGGTGGAGCTCACCGGTGGACAACTCAAACTCAAAGCTGCTCTTCCCAGCCGCCCACCGGCCACCGGCGGCTCAAGTGGGCCGGCACGCGGCGGAACATTTCCGAAAGGTCCGCGGCGGGCCGCTGCGTCACGATAAGCGCGCGGAGCGGGCCGACCTGAGCTCGGCGCTGCGCTCAGTCGAGTGGCTGTGCCGCGTCTGACACGATACCCGTGCCGAGCGGCGTCCGGGAGAGCCGCGAGCATGAACGGCCAGCGTCGCCAAAATTCTGTGATAGTCCTGGAGCCGCGGCGTCAGGACGCTGCTGAGACAGTGGACAGTGGGCAAGCAGTCACAACTGATACAGTGGACAGTGGGCAAGCAGCCACAGCTGAGACAGCGAACTTCACGGCGTTCCGGGGCATGCAGCGCTCGCCGCGAGCCGGCGGTGGGGGCCGGGTGCGCTCTCGCAGCCGGCGGCGGGCCGAGCCGGTGCGGCGCACACGCAGCTCGCCGCAGCAGCTGCACGACCAGCTGCAGCGGGCTGTGCTCGGCCAGGAGGCGGTGGACACGCTCAGTCTGCTGCAGCGAGGTGCCGATCCCAACCTGCGTGTCACCGCGCCGCACATCCGCACGCCCAGATCGCTACCCTCCTCGCGCAAAGAGAAAACAATAAAATTTCTAAATCCATCGAAGGGCCCGCGCTTCCGTCACGACAACAGTTGGAGCATACGCGACCCGGAGGCTGGCGCCGACAACTACGCCTTCTGGCACACCGAGCACAGAGACAAGGGCGCGCGTATGGAGACGCTACTGCACCGGGCGGCCCGAGACGGTAAGGCCGAGCTGGTGCGCGCCCTGCTCGACCACGGCGCCGACGCGTCCGAGCGCGACTGGGCGCAGCGCACGCCGCTGCACGTGGCCGCCGCCGCCGACACGCCCGGCGAGGTGCTGCAGCTGCTGCTGAGCGCGCCCGGCACGCTCATCGACGCGCAGGACGCGGCCGGCGACACGGCGCTGCACTGCGCGCTGCGGCAGAAGAACCGGCGCAACACGATCCTGCTGCTGGAGGCCGGCGCGCGCGCCGACATACGCAACAAGGGTGGCCGCACGGCGCTCAAACACCTGCTCAAGGACTTTCCGCAGGCACTGGAGACGGCGTTCGACCGGTCGCTGCGCCTGGTGCGACCGCTCGGCTGGAGTGGACGCGCCATACAGTTCGACTACTCGCTGTTCAACCCGTGCCTGCTCGACGACGACGAGAGCTCTTACGTAAGCTGCATGGAGACCCGTCTGCTCAACAGCATCGAAGTCGAGGCCACGCGCGACCAGCTATTTCTGCACCCACTCTGCCAGAGTTTTCTCAACCTCAAGTGGAAGATGATCTCGCCGCTGTACGTGATCGACATCATCATCTTCTTCGTGTTTGTCGTCAGCTTCAACGTGTTTCTGTTCGCCGTTGTGGACAAGCGGCGTGCAGAAAACATCACCGACAGTGCCCTAATCAGCAACGACATGGGGTTCTTCAACACGTCTGACGTCGTCCCGCCGAACCGCCGCGGCTCTGCGGGCATCGACTTCAACGTCACCTACTTCAACATGCCGCTGGAATCCATCACATTCTTCATCGTGGCCTTCACCTGTGTGTACATCGACCTGCGCGAGACGATCAAGATGTGGGTGCTCGGCGTGATGCCGTACCTGCGCGGCCCGGAGAACGTCATCACGTGGTTCTGTACCTCCACCGCCATCGCCTGTCTGTGCACGGACGTGCTGACGTTCGAGCAGCTGCGTCAGGTGGCCGCCGCCTGCCTGCTCGCCTCGTGGACCGAGCTGCTGTTCATGTTCGGCCGCGCCGAGTTCGCCTCCATGCACGTGATGCTGTTCGTGACGCTGATCCGCACCCTCTCCGTGTTCATGATGGTCTACACGGCCATCACGTTCGCCTTCACCAGCAGCTTCTTCGTCCTGTTCTGCGACAAACCGGACGAGTTCGACGGCCGCTTCGACACCATGACCAGCGCCTTCTTCACCACGGTGGTGATGTCGATCGGCGAGTTGAACTACGACCCGACGCAGCTGCACGGAAGCAAGGGCGGCTACGCCATCTACCTGCTCTTCATCTTCTTCATGCTCATCATCACCATGAACGCTATGGTCGGTATGGCCGTCAACGACACGCGCGACATGGCCGCCAAGGCCGAGATCAAGCTGCACAAAAAGTACATCGAGTTCGCGCACCTGTTCGAGCGCCACCAGCGGTACCGGCGGCGCAGCTGTCTGTGGCGGATCCTGCCCTCCGTTAACATCACCCTGCTCGGCATGCTGCCCGAGGGCCGGCTGGCGGCCAGCTGGCACGTGGTGCCGGGACCGCAGCTCGGCTGGCGCCACCGCTGGCGGGTCATGTTCCCCGGCAAGGAGGGCGGGTACGCGGCGCAGCGCACCAAGGGCACTGAACAGCTGCGTCAATGGCTGGCCCAGTGGCCCGGCCTGCTGCGGCAGGCCGCGCGCATCGTCATCATCAAACACCACGACAGCTGGGACCAGCCCATCGAGCCGGGCAGCGAAGACTTCCAGGAGACGGAGACGGACGGACCGCGCCGGGGGGACAAGGACGCCGGAAAGGATAGCACCGACAGCGCCGAGAGCAGCGGCATATCCAGTGACAAGGACACCGCGCCAGCCGGCGCCAAACGAGTCCCCCTCCGACCCGAGGATGCCGATCCTGAGGGCGGCGGCGAAGAAGGGGAGACGGACGGGAAAGATGGAGAGGATGAGGATGAGGGGGACGGCGGCGGGGCGCCCGACCAGCTGGTGGAGCTCCGGCACGCCGTGCTCGACCTCAAGTGTCAGCTGGGTAAGATGCAGGACCAGCTGGCGCACATCGGCCGAGCCGTCTCCAAAATCGCCTACACGCAACAGTCGACGGTCATACACACGTGATCAGACGTTAGCAATGGTGTCAGAGCGTGATTGGACGTCATGAGACATCATTAGTGACGTCGTTGGCGTACGTCATCGGTGCTTGACTGGTGAGTGGGATAGGCGGCAGCTGGAGTGATATGTGCTGCCCGTTGACGTGGTTAAGAACGCTAAGCCGGTAAATGATATCATATTCGTAGTGTTGTTACGATATTTCGTTGATAGAGCAAAGTACAGATGCTTGACAAGGAACTGTTAATTACAGTCTTGCCCTCGTGTCGATAACCAATCTGATAGTGCCGGGAGATCAGATGGAGACTTTACACTGCCAGCTGCAAGGTAAGATCATGCATTCTGCGGCTCCTTCGGCCATCGGGGGCGTTGGGTCGTTTTTTTTACCAATACCATCATCACCAAGTATCCAACTCCAACCTGAATCGTGATGCTGAATGTTATGGGAAGCGTACAATTAGCAATCGAGCGAAGTTTGGTAATTTTATGATTTATTTACATGAAGACATGATGTAATGTTTAGCATGTTTAACGGTTTAAAAAATGAATGAAATCGTCAACTTTCATCGAACGAGATGTAGCAGAGACTGTACACAAAAGTTAAATGATAAATGAGGTTTTCAGTGACTTAACTTATGAAAAACGATGTAAAAATGTGCTATTCGTATGTGGGAATAAGTGTTTGAAATAAACACCTACTATACATTTATCATTATTCATTCACAGCCGTAAGACACTACTACGACGGTATAAAATATTTTTAACCGAAAAGTGAACAGCGCTCACCAAATCATAAACGGAATTTGTTAGATTCGATGACGAAGATTCGATAACGGTGGCGAAAGATTCGACGAGATTCATTCGGGTTGGGTGCCTGCATATTTGACGATAACATATTGAAAAAAAAACGTAACTTTGACGTCGACGATCACTTTCATGGAGCAATGTTGAGTCCGAGCAACAGAGAACAGAATAGGGAAACGTCTACAGATACACGACACAAATAAACTGGCTGACGTACCGAGGCATATGGCAACTACATGCACGGAGTACATAAGAATTGAGAGTTGAGACGAAATGAATTACAAACTTAGCGGATATTGGAGATTATAATATTGATGGAGATTACAATATTGAATAATCGGAGGTAATCGGAGGCTATCATTGAGCAATTAAGTTACGCGCGGATGTCTACAACACCGTGCAGAGCACCTCGGCTTTTCAGGGCGTAACGGCGACAAATTTTCAAATCAAGCAGAGCGTTCACTGCCATACGCCACAACAAAGACTCGTCGTATCAAATGTCGCCGTCCACCGTTAATTCACATATCGCAAAGGAAAGCAGCTTTTACAAGCGTATAAACTGCCAGCTATCACAAGTCGAGGACCAGACGCGCAAATCTCACCGCTGTATCATCAGCCGAAGATTACCGTCATGCGGCGCAGATACTTGAGCCATGGGATAAAAACGGCGATTATAACGGCAGACTCATGAAGAACAATGGCCCTCTGCTGTCCTGGCCCTACTGTGTACTTTGCACTGGCAAATGTAAACACACGGAACGCACCTAAGACGACCGCGATAAACGGACAAGTTGGTCTCAAAAGACTGACAAATTATTTAACTGTCATCGGCCACTGCCCCCTCCTCTCTCGACAAGACATTCAGTGATGAAGATAGTTGTCCTGCGTACCCTCCTCCCCCGCCCTCTCTCCCGAATACTCACCGGCGGGTGTGGTGTCCAGCGCTCCCGGCCTGTCTCCCAGCCGGAGAGCCGAGCTCAGGGACTCACTCAGACCGTCCAGCTCGGAGGCCGGCAGACGGGACACGGCGCCGCCAGAAACTGTCGGTGGAGGGTCAGGGGAGGTCAGCGGTGGGATCATGGTGAGGTTACAGCTTATAAACGAGCTGCGATGTGGGCTAGGGGCGGTAGGACATGCTGAGTTCGAGACCGTAGCTAGTTGAAACTTTCAGGAATAACATAAGCTGAATTTGTTTCACCATTCAAAGTGCGGAATGGTACCAACTCTGCGAGATGCAGTGTCCAGTTTCGATTATTTAAGCATCCCTCTCTGATACGGTTAGGTCGGCAGTCGTTCCCCGTTGACCCACCGTTGTTCGTGCCGGCGCCGTGCGCGGGCGCCCTCTGCGCCGCCGGCGCGTCCGTGTCCGTGTCGCTCTCCGCGCTGTCCGGCGGGCGCAGCTCGCTGCCCGCCTCCTGCTCCTGGCGCAGACACTCCTCGGTCTCCTGCTTCCTGCACATCCACTGCTGGATGAGTCCGTTCTGTTCGCCGTCCACGGCGCCGCGGCCGGCCAGCTGGCGGAGCAGCCTCTCGGCGCCGGCCACCAGACGGCGGTACTGGTCGGCGGCAAACTCCAGCCTGACAGACGGCGGCCAGAGGTCAGACGAACGGCGAGCAAACGGCGCGGTCTACAGACGGCAGTGTACCATTTTTCAGATTTTTTGGTGGCAACTCACACCTGATGGGGAAAATATTTTCATCCCTAAAATATGAATGACTGACTTTACTTCATCTCTGAAAAAGGTTTCATGTATTCGAACAGCCAGTTTACATGTCACTTGACAGTTGATGGACCCACATCCTTTTGTTTCACACCCTGTCAAGATCCTGACATGAAATCCTGGTTTATCAGTGGACATAAAAATTAGCATTACCTACAACATTTTTCAAAAATAGTTCAGTTATTTACTTTCTTTTTTTCTCATCGTAGGATTTTTTTTTCATCAGCACACCCAACCAAAATCCAATTTTAGAACACTGACAGACGGGGCACCGTGTGGGACAGGCACGATAAATAGAAAAACAGAACCAGTTATTAAAACCGTGCAGAAAATAAGTGAAAGTTGAGGCATATAACACAAACGGCAGATAAACGCGATAAATCTTCAGACACTTCAACGAAGAAAAAGCAAAAAAAAAAACAACAACAACAACAAAGCTGGTCGATTTGATGCCTATCCATGAAAGGCCCTGGGGCCTTTCATGGATGAAAGGCCCTGAGCTGTGGCTGACCTGTGAGGTAGGCGCTTCATTGGGCAATGAAGCGCCTACCTCACAGGTCAGCCACAGCTCAATGAGACTATTCCCTCCCCGTCCCCCAATCTCTCCCGTTCACTCACTGGAAGAGCTGGTCGTCCTGTTTCTCGGGCTCGGGCTCGGAGCGTGTGTTCGGCGGCGGGGCCTGGGCCGCCAGCGCCGCCTGCTGCGCCGCCGCCAGCTGGTGCATCTCGAGCACATGCAGCCGCTGGTAGAGGTCGACCAGCGCGTTCTCGTGGAGCAGCGCGGCGCGCTGGCAGCTGAGCTCGGTCAGACTGGTGAGCGGCGGGCTGGCCGTGTAGCCGAGCCCGGCCAGCCGGCCGGCCGGCGACGCCTGGTGGTGGTACGGGTGCACCAGCGCCGACTGGTGGCTGAGGTGCCCGCCGCCGGCCGGCCGCGGCGGCTGGCTCAGAGATAGGTTCTGGTGGGAGCCGAACGACGGCACCGTCTGACTGAGCAGGTGGCCGGGGGTGGCGGCAGACAGCGGGTGGGCCAGGGCCGGGAACGACTGGCTGAGCGACGGGTTCAGCGACTGCTGCACCGCCAGACTCTGACTGTGAGCGTGACTCTGGTTCATCAGCGGCTGGTTCAGCGGAGACAGCGGCTGGTTCATCTGGTTCAGGTTCATCTGGTGGTTCTGGTTCATGGTTTGGTTCAGCCCCATCTGGTTCGGGCTGAGCAGCTGCTGATTTTGGTTCAGCATCATCTGCTCCTGCTGGCTGTGTGTCATCAGCGCCTGGTTCTGGTTCATGATCTGCTGGTTCGCGTTGATCAGCGCCGGGCTGTGGTTCACCACCGGCTGGTTCACAGCCATCATGTGCTGGTTCTGGTTCATGGCCGGCTGGGTGGGACTCATCACCTGCTGGGTCTGTCCGCCCACCATCTGCTGAGCCGGGCTCATCACCGCTCCATGGCCGCTGAGCCTCTGCTGCGCCGAGCTGAGCCGTCTCTGTCCGCCGAACCCCGGCCCGTAGCCCGCTCCGTACCCCGCCGGAGGGGCAGCGGGGCCGGCCGGGCCCCAGCCGACCGCCGGCGGCGCGTCCAGCTCCGGCCCGTACCCGGGCGCGGCGCTGTACCCGCCCTGCGCCCAGCCGGCCGGCGGTGGTTTGCCGTCGGGCCGCGGGGAGGCCGCCTGCAGCGGGTGTCTCAGAGGGTGGACCGGGTGCACCTGGCGCGCCGGGCCCGCCTGCTCGGCCGGCGGCGGATCAGAGGACGGAGGCAGCGGCCGCTGCACGGCGCCACACGTCACCAGGTTGATGACGGCCGGCAGCAGACGTACGTACTGCAGCGAGTTCAGAGACTCGTCCGTGTCGGCCGGCGACAGACAGCAGAGCACCAGCGTGCGGCAGTTGCCGCCGATCACGTCCTGAGGCGCAGAGGGGCGGACGGAGATCGGTGAGTTTTGAGGATAAGCAGCAGGGTGTGTAAGTGGGCATCCAAGCTGGTTGAGACGGTTATTATACTGGTATCGTGTCTACGAAGCGCATGGAGTCACCCATGGTTGTGACGTTTAACTGAGCGGATAATCAACTAAAAACGTGACTGAACACACATTAAACCAGCCTCCCCGTGCTTCCCCAACCGCAAAACGGAAATCTCCAGGCTGCTGATTAACCGAATTTACACACTTGAACACAATCATAATAACTCTCCACATTAAGGCCCCACTGCTTTCACGACGACCAACAGCACACTTAGTACAACCCATCAACCACCCAGGCCACTTCCTCCAACCCTTCCCCAACCCGTCCAACGCACACCTCACCCTCCCTACTGACCCCACCGTGCACCCATCTGACCTTGAGCAGCGCGGGCAGCGGGGCCAGGTGGTAGGGCACGGACGGCCGGCGGCGGGCCAGCGCCTCCACCACGTGACGCAGTGCCAGCAGGCCGGCATTAATGGTGAAGTCGTCCGGGTCGTCGGGCGCCGGCTGTAGCTCCGAACCGGACAGCTCCACAAAGTACATTGACGAAGAGGTCTCGTGCAGTAGCACACCTGCAACGGCGGATGGAGGGGAGGGGAACACAATGAGCGGCAATCATGATGCACCATCTGTGTATGTGGTGTGTGATGTACAGAGGGGGCTTATAGGTAGGTATTTGTAAACAGCCGGAACTGACGTAGTTTGAATGGAACTCTATTTGAAAACCACTTGTGTTGGCTTAGACTTATGTCCAACAGTTGATCAAAATCCACACACACAGACCCGCGTTTCTCACTACCGCCTCATCCAGCACTGTCCGTGATCCCGCTCTCCTCTCCCTCCCCTCCCGCTGTGCGTGTCCCGGCCCTCTTACCGTCGGCCCACTCCTGCTGAACTTGCACCGTGAACACCGTGTGCGCCTGCTGATCACTGGCCGCCGTAGAGCCCGCCTGTCGCATGGACGAGCCAGCCTCGAGGCAGTGCAGTACCTCGGAGACGGAGGAGCACTCCAACCGGGTGAGACCCGGCACCACCGGGGAGCCCTGGGGGAAACACCGCAGGGGAGGGGTCAGTGGACAGCGCCAACCGGTCGAAACGGGAGGGGGCGGGAGAAACGGGAGGGGTGAGATGGGATGGCTCGAAACAGGACGGGACGAATCAAGCGTATGCATACCGGTCAGATATGACTTCACAAATCATCGTAGTGATGCCTGTTCTTCACTTCACAGGACGGAGTTCATTTATCGGACAACATTTTTATATCGCTTGAAGCGATTCGCTTCCTGGCCGTCTCTTCTGTGTCTTTCACTATAACCGGTGAGTGACGGATTGAATTATGACTTATTAGCCAGTGATGAGTCCTTCCACTCCCCGGCAGAGCAGCGGCATCAGTAGCCTAGCTCTTCACGGGGCTCACGCCTCACCTCCTCGTCGTACTGCACGTCCAGGTGGTAGCTGACGGGCTCGTAGTTGAGCAGGTCGCGGATCTCCTCCTCACCCACCTCCAGGTAGCTGGCCCGCACTGTGAACGCGTGCTCGGCCACCTCATGTGAACTTTGCTGCACGGGGACAAAGAGACTTTTGTTAGCAGTCAGTGGGCATAAGGGGACTATGAAACGATCATAGTTCGTAAATCGTAATGGAACGTGACGAATCGAAGCTGGACCAGGTGCGGAATTGGCGTAATAAACTGACAAAAATTAATATGAAGACAATTATCACCAATATAACGCCTTTTGGGGCGACTAACGGAGCGAACGAGAGGGTGAGCCTTGCACGAGCGAAATTTCGAGGGGGTACCTCCAACTGACTTGTGCACGGCACCCTACTGACCGGTTTCTAGCGATGTGCCAAATTTGAGCACAATCGGCCCAGCCGTTCTCGAGATCTGGAAGCGGCACCCTGCACGTGCGCACGTGAAAATGGGTCCCAACTGACTTGTGCACGGCACCCTACTAACTGGTCCCTAATCGTGTACCAAATTTGAGCGCCATCGGTCCAGCCGTTCTCGAGAACTGGAAACGACCCCTGCACGTGCGCACGTGCAGCAGCACCTCAACTCTGGCACATGGATATGCAGTGCCTAGTGGGTGCCTACCTACATGCCAACTTTCAGCGCAATCGGCCAAGTAGTTACCGAGATATTGCAACAATTGCAAAACTGACACCTCTTCGTTTTGCACGTGGCACGTGCATAAGGGGTCACCCACATGCATCGGGAATAGTCCAATACTTGGTAGAAGGAATGAAGCTACCCTACAAAAATTACCGCGTGTAAATCGGTCAAGTGGTTGCTAAGATATAAGCCTCGCAAAAGCGTCCGCACGGCCGGCCGGCCGCTCATACTCAGAAATTTCCGTTAATCTAAGGAAAGACTACGCTCGCTTCGCTCGCTCCGTAATAAGCGCAATCAAGCTCTGAATTCGTAATACAGCGTACCAATGTGACCGCACCTATAATAAATACCCGGAGCCCATAACGCACGATGTGCGTTGAAACATACAAACATGTAGCGCAAGTGCCCTAAGCATTGTTAACACGTGGCACACGTACCTTGAGCGCCGCGAACACGTGGCGCACGGCTCTGGGCAGCACGCCAAACTCGGCCTCGCTCATGGCGAACGTGGCGTCCGGTCCGACCAGCGTGAACGTCTTCCCGGAGCCCGTCTGGCCGAACGTCACCACGGCTACATTGTAGCCTGGGGGTGGAGGGGGAAGGGTGGTGAGGGAAGGGTGGGGGGACACAGCAGTTATACGAGTTTAGAGGCTGTGGGTGATTAGTTAGCAGTTGGCAAGTGACGGTGTTTAATTGGTGTTGAAGCAAAATGTGTTACTCAGGAAGTATACCATCTGCCTGCACCATCGCTGGCTATATTCCGTGTTCCGAAAGAGACTAGTCGGAAAATAATAACAGTGTCATGCAGATAAAGCCGGCGAGAATCTAAAACAGAAGTCGCAAATAGCACAGAATACAGCCACATAAGCAGAGAACAGCGCGCTCGTCCCGTCGGCCGTCACCCTCCGGACGAGACACGCCCCGGCCGGCGGCGCGGTCTGCCTCACCCTGGAGCAGCATCTCGACCTGCGGCTCGACGGCCGCCGCGTACAGCTCCTGCTGGCCCACCGAGGCTGGCAGGCAGAAGGTGGGCTCGAACAGGTGGCCCTCGACGGTGACCTGGCCGGTGGCCAGCAGCTCGACCCGCTCGTCCGACGGCGGGTCATCCGTGTCCAGCACGGGCCGCAGCTGGGGGCAGCCCGTCATGTCAGGGGAGGGGTCTAGGGAGATAAGACCATGGGTGTTAGACTCACATTGGGTTAGAAATGTTTGGCATGGATTAGAGGAAAACACAGTGTGGGAAAGTTGGTACAGTATGGAAATAATATTACTATAGGCCTACAGCAACGCACTTTGTAAGTGGATCGCTCTTAAATATAAATACAAATGCAAATACAAATACAAATACAAATACAGCAATAAGGAAACGTTGAAGACTACACTAACATGTAAGAAATAACCAGCAAAGAAGACATTTTGGGGTCTGGTCTGCGTATAGACCTCACCTCTGTCTTCACTTATGAGCTATGAATGCATATTTTCAAGCTATTTGTGATGATCATTCTTTGTTAAGCAATTAAGATGAGGCTAAAATCAAATAAAATAACCATATCAAGGACATGACCAATGGTTGAAGAATGTATAGATGACATTAACACTTACCCTTACACCAACTTGTATTGGTATTTCCAAATAACTTTGTTTCCTTTCAAAATCCATCTTCAGCTGATTCCAGTCACAACAGAGAGCCAAACAACAGAGAGCTCCTTGAATTAATCCACAATGTCACATTGATTTGAGATATCACAACTTATTCTCAGTCATGTTTGCCCTGGAACGTCAAAATATTTCTAGAGTGAATGCTTTCAATCTACAAAAATGAGAAGGAAGAGCAACACATGAATGCTGACACTAGTTGACTTTTCCCACATAGCTATTCAAAAAAGCAGTACATTTTTGAAACTGAAGAGTAAGCATAAAAACTTTTAAATTTACTTGAACCATAGGCTTAGGCACAGATGAATCAAATCTAACTGCAGATCCAATGTTTCTGCATGTTCCATATCAAGATATATGTTTAAAAAAGAAGATTGATTATTACTTCTCAAAACAACAGATCTCTCATTCTAACTCAGACTAACATGTGAGTTGTGACAAACTGGATGCTTACTGAAACTTTCAACTGGAGCCATTAGTATCAATAGGTTACACACTCCACAAATGGTTAATTTATACCCTTGGCCTTAGCTTAAGTTTAACCTTCTCAAACCTTCTAACCCACCCACTTTCTGCCGATACCGGAGCCAGGCATTGTTGGAGCTTGCTTATTCTGCATGCATGCGGCAAAACCACAGAGTGGGTAAACTAGCGATATTCATTTTAAAAAAATGGCATACATCTGGTTGAATATATTTAGTAGCAATGTGTCACTGGAAATAGTAACAATTATACAAAAAACATAGTATTTTAACAATACTGGCATATGACCATGCCTCCTCGCTCTGTCAACAGGACATCACTGCCCTGCACCGTATTTCTTCGTCATGGGACCTTCGCCTGAACCGTGACAAATGTGTGGTCATACGTTTTCAGAGCAAGGCTCAATCTCAATCTCTTCCACCTCCAGTGTATGACATCGATAATTCCCCGATTCGAGTTGTCCCCTCCCATCCGGATCTCGGAGTACTGGTGGACTCGAGCCTCAAATTCCACGACCACATATCCGCTACTGTCCACAAGGCCGCAGGTCTTTCTCAAAACCTCCTGAGGAGCACGGTGTGCCGATCTCCGGACTTTATGCTAACACTTTTCCGTACTCACATAAGACCAGTTATCGAGTACTGCTCGTGTGTGTGGCACACTGGGTACCTGGGGGACCTGCGCGCTCTGGAGTCGGTCCAGCGTCGCTGGACCAAGCATATCGCTGGCCTGTCGAGTCTGGATTATCGGTCCCGGCTCTCATCGCTGAACTTGTATTCAATTCAAGGCAGACTGCTAAGGGCTGATATGATTCAGTACTGGAAGGTATTCCATGACAAATGTGCGGTGTCCCCCGCTGACTTGTTCACTCTACCTCCTCAGTTAGGCATGCGCGGACATTGCTTTAAGATTTTCCATCCCCGCTCACACACTGATGTCAGGCGTAGGTCATTCTCGGTGCGCGGTGTGAGACTATGGAACTCCCTCCCGGAGCACGTCGTAATGGAACCTAACTACAAACAAAACCTTTAAGGGTTTGCTGGCGGAAGCCCTTGGCGACGCTCTGTATGACTTTCACTAACCGCCTTGTTTTGTTCTTCGTCTTGCGAAATGCACTGTACCATGGACACATTTAAAGTAGCATTGACTTTGTCTTTCTCCTGCATCAATTATGTACACATAACTACTCTTGTTTGCATCTTGAACCATGCCTGTTTTCGCGCAAACATATGTGCAGGCGCTCCACTCCGGTAGTAGCAACTGCTGGTGCGCCTTGTGTCTGCGGGTTCCTACTGTATCCCTGCCTACTCCTTCCTGTCTGCAGACGTGAGATTGGGAACCCCACCAGGTGAGTGAACCAGGTGAGTTAGAAATAAAGGACAATACTGAGTATTCTTCTTTGAGTATTATTCTTTAACTCAAGCCAATTTGGCACCTGCAACACCAATTTTCAAGCTGCACAGTGGAGAACTATGCTGCAGTAGGTGATGCCAGTGCCACACCTGCCATAATGCACCAGTGTGGGTGAGGCGAGGGGCATAAGTGTAGCAGCTTTCACCATGCATGCATCAGCACAACTCAACTCACCTGTTTGGGGTTCCCTTGGTCTGAGAGTAGCCAAAATGAATGCAGGGATGGGGAGAAGGGAAGGAACCCGCATAGAAAGAGCTCGCCCGATGGATGAGATTGAGAACACATCCAAACGGGAAAGTGAGCCCACAAGTGCCAAATGAATGAGTTTACAAGAGTGACAAGATACAAACAGCAACATTATAATCGGAACACAGTTAATGGTCATGGGACACAATTCATTTAGATACGCACTAGAGACTAGTATACAAACAGGGTATCACACATTTTTGCAGCACTTCAAACACATGACGAGTTAACATCGAAATGGCGTCGGTAGTGTAATTTCGTTGTACAAAATACAGTTGGTACTTGGTATAGTTGTGATAAACCGAAAATTATTGTCCATTTCAGTGTTTTCATGATGGTTTCCACGTTATTTAGCATGGAGAAGTTGAAGTGGATTCTGAGTTCTGACTATAGAAAATGTGTGATTTGATAGGCAAAGGTCTTTAAAGGGACCCTCCCACCTTCAAAAAAGTTAATGAATTGGCATAAAAGTGATGTAGCGTGAATCACAAAGAGCGAAAATGAACATCTACCAAATTTTACCGGAAAATATTCACCCGTTTTCGAGATATAAGACTTTTATTTTTGTTTACTTTTTGGGAAATCCGCTGTTTCTATGACGTCACATAAAGGTTTTCTTTACGTCGGCATTTGGAAGCAATAGTTTGGTATCAAAGTGCGACAAATATTGCGCGAATGATGCGTTTATCTTATCAAGGGATGGCCAATAAAGGATTCCAGGACAATTCATATGGCATTTCTTCGTATCGCAATTCTTCGTCTGCAAATCTTCGTCAGGGCATTTATTCGTACCTATCGCATTACTTTGTCTCGCACCAGGGTATATGAAAATCGGCTCACATTTCTTCTTCAACGCAAATATATGCAAGAGTAAGCATTGAGGGACAAATAAATGCATTCATTCATTCATTCGTCGTTCATGCACCGACGAAGATTTGTAGACCAAGACGAAGAAATGCGGACGAAAAATTGTGCTACGAAGAAATGTCATGCGAGGATTCGTTCGGGTACCATGACATTTATGTGATTTCAAAGTCAAGGTTCACAGGCTCACAGCTGATCTGCTAAATCAAGCCAAGAATCCAAACTATAAAAAACTATAAATATTTGTTTGTCTGTCACAGAGGTCTCAAGCAATATAAGGTTGACATATGTTGAATCAAAAATCTACTGCCACAACTCCTCGCGAGGCTAAAAACGAAAGTTGTGGCCACTAAAAAAAAAAAAAAAAAAAAAAAAAAAAACTGCCACAACTCACATCTCCTGCCTTAGTTTATCATTTATCGGGGTTACATGAGCACAGTAAATACGTATTTAGCCGCTAATTCGAATTAGGAACGCATTACCGACTCATGTAGCCACCGGCTAGTACGAATCGGCGATCCGATCCGCGGTTACATGAGCAAAGCAAATACGTATCACGATCGGATTCACCGCTAATGCGAATCAGGAGCGTACTACCGACTCATGTATCCACCTGCTAATACGAATCGGCGGTCCAAACAAAATCCGCTGAGAAACAGGCTTAGAAGCGAATAGGACCAAGATACGTATTACAGGAACTATTTCTTTCCAAAAAAAACATTAAAATGCAAAAATAATAGGTATATTTTTCATTTGCTTCTTTTGAAATAATAATTAAAAAAATATGTCGGTATTTTGTCAATAAATATAGTGAAAACCAAAAAGAAAATATCAAAGTACTTCAGCACTACAGACGAATCAAGAGAGGCAAGTGCCCAATGAGTCAAAGCAAGACAACTTTATGTTCAACTTTTTTTTGTTAAATTAATTGAGGATGTTCTGAGCAGATTAAATGCAAAAAAGACATGAGATATTAAATTTTTAATTCAGTCACCTCTATTGCTATGGAAATGCGCCACATTTGTATGCTATTCCGTTTTTAATGCGCATTACCTTCGGCCGGGCCGAGAGCCAAACTAGGTCTGTTTGACGTCACTAGTACGAATTAGCTCATGTAGTCGGTGCCGTTAACACGTTCTTGGGGAGCTGATGCGTATTAGCGTAGTACGTATTTGGAACGGATCGCTCATGTAACCCGGCACGTTTTACAGGAACTATTATTTGTTGTTTGGAAACAAAGAACGTCTTTTTACATGGATCTGTTATTCATACATATTTTTTGTCAAAACATGAACTCACTAAAACCTGAAGATATCAGGTAAAATAGGTACCTGAAAGTCAAACGAAATATATTTGATACTTGATGAGTATTGAATGTTCGCAACAGTTGTAGAAGTCCCTTCATTGTTTCCGTGGGGGGCCTCGTGGTTTTGCGTTTTGTTTTGCGATAAAGAAGTTATCCTGCCTTTTGGTGGTATCCACCATTAGTTTTTTATCAGAAGACTCGGTGAGGAAATCATTTTGAGTCCTCGGACAAAGCATCATACAGCATGCGACGTGACTGGGAGGAGGAGGAGGTCGAGGCACTCCTTCAAGTAGTGTTAGACCTAAACCTATTTGCTGCGATTGACGGGCGCCGCCCGCGGAACGCACAGGTGAGCAGGGTCTTATATTATCAACCAATCTTCCCAAAATGTATCACTCATGAGCCTTTGCCAACAACATGTTGCATGAAGCTACAGACCTTCAATGTCAACCTCCCTAATGTCATTCTGATACTGTAAATTGATAAGCTAGTTTCAAACTAAAGCATGAGCTTGGCAGCAAAGTCAGCAAGCTATAGGCAATTCAAATGTTCCAGCTTACTTCCTGCCTAGTGGGGATATTTCATATTGGGATTCCCCCTCCCCAGTCCTTGCATGTTGGACGTATCCCCCAGCTATGCACATTGCATGAGAGGAATTGAAAATAGCTCACATTGCAGTGCTATTTACAAAAAAAAATATATTTACAGGTCTTCGCGAGGCTGTCTTCAGAGCTGAGCCAGATGGGGATTAAGCGTACGCCGGAGCAATGTCGTACAAAGTTGAAGAATGTGCGTCTAGCCTATAACAAGCTCAAGATCAAGCAGTCTATATCTGGTGCTGCAGCATGCAGGGTGCCACATCAAAACCTCCTAGAGCAACTTCTTGGAGGGCGGCCAGCAGCTACCCTACATGAAGCGACCATAGACCTTGGCACAAATGTGCATCAGTCAGGTGAGATATAACTGAAAGTATGTCTGTCACTGAGGTGCAAATGTTTGTGCATTATATGTTCAAAAAGGCATGCCAATAACAAGCAATATTATTTGTTTAAATATTTATTATTTACCATTAAGAGCATTAGCTGGGTTAATGTGTATGCAAAGAATTGTATCAGTTAACATTGCAAATTGACATTGCACAATGACTTTCAGGGAAAACATTCACTTATCATGTTGTTATATATTTGGCCCTGGACGTGGCTTGGAAAAACTCAATCAAGTGCCTTTTTGTGTGTTTCAGCTACAGAAGACCGTCGTTCTTCAGCCACAGTCAGCGGCTCCAGAGTACGGGGCTCAGCCACCTTCAGTGGCTCCAGAGTACCGAGTTCGGCCTCTGACAGTGGCTCCAGTGTGCTGAGCGCTGTCTCTGACATTGGCTCTAGTGAGCTGGGCTCAGGCTCTGACAGCGGTTCCAGTGTGCTGGGCTCTGACTGCGGCTCCAGTGTGCTGGGCTCGGCCTCTGACAGCGGTTCCAGTGTGCTGGGCTCTGACTGCGGCTCCAGTGTGCTGGGCTCGGCCTCTGACAGCGGTTCCAGTGTGCTGGGCTCTGACTGCGGCTCCAGTGTGCTGGGCTCGGCTTCGAACAGTGGCTCCAGAGTACCGGACTCGGCCTCTGTCGGTGGCTCCAGAGCACCTGGCTCGGCCTCTCACAGCGGCTCCAGAGTTGTGGAATCGTCCGCTAGCGTAACCGGTATCAGTGATGTGCCGTCAGCAGCCCATGCACGCTGGCCTACTCGATCTGAGTCGGTCGATGATGGGCTGGAGTCAGCGTCGTGTATCGGTCTCAGTCAGACGCCGCGTGCGATCAGTCAGCGAGAGGCCAGAAAGGCAAAACGAGCTAAAACTGACTCCAGTTGGGATGGCTTTTTCTCCATTTGGCAGACCAAGGCTGATGAGAACTTGGAGTGTCAGCGACAGCTAATCGCTGCAGAGGACGCCAACCTTGTCATTAGCAGAGAGCAGCTGGAGGCTTCCAAGGAGGCAAACGCCCAGCTAGCCCGTGCGGTCGACGCCCTCATAGCAGCTACTGCCCCACGCTATCACGGGTGTCCCTTTCCAATGCCGGGGCCATCGAACCGCGGTAACTAGTTGATGAGCTGTGGCACGTCCGAAGCGCTTCTTGTGTTACATTTTCGCTTTGGTTTTATGGAACGATGCTCATTGGAGACGTGACCCCCGCGCAGCATCACGAATGTTCCTAACGCCGGGGCTATGGAGTCGCGGTCACAAGGTGATTGGCTGTGGCACGTGCGAAGCGATTGTTGTGTTACACTTTTTTTTGTCTTATTGAACGTTACTCATTGGAGATGTCGTGACCCCCGCGCAGGTATCACGAATATTCCGAATGCCGGGGCTATCGAGCCGCGGGTCACAAGTTGATTGATTGGCTGTGGCACGTGCGAAGCGATTGTTGTGTTAGGTACACTTTTTTTGTCTTATTGAACGTTACTCATTGGAGATGTCGTGACCCCGCGCAGGTATCACGAATATTCCGAATGCCGGGGCTATCGAGCCGCGGGTCACAAGTTGATTGATTGGCTGTGGCACGTGCGAAGCGATTGTTGTGTTACTTTTTTTTTGTTTTATTGAACGTTACTCATTGGAGATGTCGTGACCCCCCGCGCAGGTATCACGAATGTTCCGAATGCCGGGGCTATCGAGCCGCGGGTCACAAGTTGATTGGCTGTGGCACGTGCTAAGCCATTGTTGTGTAACATTTACACTTTGTTTTTATTGAACGTCACTCGTTGAGGATGTGCGAAGCGATTGTTGTGTTATATTTTCACTCCGTTGTTATTGCGTAACTCGTTGGAGATGTCGTGACTTACGCGCAGGTATCACGAATGTTCCTAACGCCGGGGCTATCGAGCCGCGGTCACAAATTGATTGGCTGTGTCACCTGTGAAGCGATTGTTGTTTTACATTTCTTGCTGTTCCTTTTTTACATTACTCATGGGAAATGTGTGCCACTCGCTCGTGTCTGCGTTTCGTTCCGGTGCTACAAAATTGTAGCAGTTCTGCAGTTGTCCTGCGCTGTTAATTTTGTTAAGCATTACAACTTTCTTTTGCGTTTGCGTCGTATCATGCCGTGAGCAGTTGGTATGATAGTGTTATGTTGCAATAAACGCAGTGACGCGTTGACATATGCTTTTTACATTCCACGACGAAAGCAGTTGGATTCCCCAAAGAAAGTTCCCCGAAGAGCATTTTCTCTACTTACTCTAATAAACCTATGTGTCAGCGCCCACCGCCCACAACCGCATTATGTTAAATCATTTTGACACTCCTTTTTAGGTAGATATCAATGCATTTACACACACGGGAGCATCGTTGACGAGCGTCAGTGCATTTATATAAACTCAGGAGCATCACGGACGAGCGACAACGCAGTAGACCGAAAGGAAACGGCAGAAGCACAGATACTGTCACCAGTGCGCTGACATGAAACAAACATGGCATGATCTCGATGCCGTATGTGGCAAACGCGGCCCCGACGGACAACGGCGACGAAGAGATGCAGACGAAATACCTCCATCGCCAACACCTTTCGTAAACGACGAAACGCACAAATATGCACGAGCCCTGAACAAAATACAACAGTCCATTAAACATTATGTTTGGTCCGAGCCAGACGCTTCGGCGCATCAAACAAGTGCCCTCCGCACCACAAAGACGACGGGGAGTGATGCTGTACATGACTAGCGGAATGCTGACCTGCGAAGCGGGAGGTTGTTGGCTAGATGGCGACGAATGGCGTCTCGCATCCCCCTGGCATCCTGTGCCTCTTCGGTACTCGCTCGCGTGGTCGGTTGCGGATAACACCGGTTAGCTATCACAGTATCTGGCACCCACGCATCGTAGTACCGCTCCAACTGTAGCTCACAGAAATTGTGGAGAATACAGCATGCTGTAACAATCACTGGCACGGCTCCCAGGTCCACTTCCATGCGCTTTTGCAGTCTTCTCCAGCGTCCTTTCAGCCTCCCAAATGCGCATTCGACTGTCATCCTTCCAGAGCTGTGGTATACGTTATATGACTCCTGCTCTGCAGACACTCGCTCCTGTTCCGCTGTCAGCTGGCGGACTTGGTTTGAATGAACCGGTTGTGGGTATGGCTTCATGAGCCACGTTGCTAACGGGTAGGCAGGATCGCCCAGCAAACACAGACGTACCGGGACTCCTTCCAGCAGAACGGGTTCCTGTAACCAACAAAAAGCAGTCAGCGGCGTATTTGGAAAATCGTGAAGGCGGGGCCAGGGTTAGGAGGGCGCCACTCACCCAAGGAGGGGGCCATACGGTCACGAGATAAAAATCCGTAACGATCGTGCACCAGCGGGCAGGATGGCGGTGATCAACAGGAGGGCGCCAGTGGGTAGGAGGGAACACGAGGGTGCCAAAAGCTAGTAGGGTTTCGATCAACATTCAGCAAGAGGGAGCCAATAGGTAGGAGGGCGCCAATGGGTAGAAGGGCGGCGATGAACAAGAGGATGCCAAAACGGAGGAGGGCGGCAATCAACATTCCACAGTAGGGCGCGGTAGGTAGGGGGGCGCCGACCAGCCGAAGGGCGCCATCGGATAGCGCCTAGCGGGGCGGCGACCTACAGGAGGGCGCCTTTGGATAAGGGTGCCGATTTATAGGAAGGCGGTTTGATGGCGCCGGAGTGTGCCATTCAATCGCATTTTCCCTGTTAACATATTCGCGATTGGAGGGCGCCTCCAATCGCAAAGGGCGCCTTCGGCGCTCAAGGGGGGCCATGAGCGATTCATAAGTATTCGTGATAAAGGCTAGGCACCAAGCCACGTTTTGATACCGGCTGCGCCAGCAATTAATACATTGCATGAAATTTTAGCTGGCAATGCTCACCACCGTGATAAGTTAAAGTACACCAGCATCCTGACCTGACCTTAGCGTGGGTTACAAACAGAAATTGGCCATAGGCTAGTACGGAAGGAAGTATTATTACTTATCCTAACTGTACCTTATGGCAGATAATCATGCATTCCACATTCGTTTGCCTATTTTGATAACTTAACAGCTCATGCCATCCTACCTTTGGGAGTTGCTCGCTGGTCCTGTACAGACTGCTGGTTCGCAGAACGTTGGAGTCATGCCAGCTACCTCGTCCACCGCAGTAGATGTTCCGGAAGCTGTGGATAAGAAGAACAATTGCACAACTAGTTCACCTTAAACGGCCGTGCTTCCAGCAGATTTACTAGGTAGGTGCAATGTCTGGTATTAAGATATTCAGTTAAAGTACTTAATGCCCGAGAGCTAGACCTTAAATTGTCTGATAATTAGTGCAGTAAGTGATGCACCTACTTATTAGCCTTAGAATAAACATAGCATTCAGCCTGATTTTAAACAGTTCAGTAAGCATCTCACTCATTTCAAGTGATGCACCTGTTCTGCTTATTTTCCAGGAAATGCTGCCGTTGCCTAGCCATTATTTGGCAATCACATCGGCAGGTACTTACATGTACTTATCATCACACACTGCCTGAAGCTGCACAGATGGCCAGCCTTTCCGATTCACGTGGTCTCGTAGTCCCTCCTCTGGTGCAGTAACCGGAATATGAGTCCCGTCTATTGCGCCGTAAGCCTGAGGAAATCCCCATTTGTCTTCCCAGCGCTGTGCAATTTCCTTGGCCTCATCAGCAGTTGGCATCTGGATGTAATCGGCCATTTCAGATACCACTGCACGACAAAATGCTAGAACATGGTGGCGTACCTGAAAACGGTAACACTTGTTAACATCACTAGCGATCGCAGCCGATAGCAGGGGGGGGGGGGGGAAGGGGCACGGTAACATTCGCTGGACATAACATTTTATCCGTCACTCTGGTGGGGGGGGGGGGGGGAGGTCAGCCAAATTTTTCAAGTGTGTAGCGAAATCCACGCCACCAAGCGCCGCACAGTTGGCGAAACTTTTGACACATCAATTTAGCATCGCAATCTTGTGAAAGATTTTGAACCCAGTCTATAGGCAAAATTACCAGTTCCTTTTACTGTACACGGGGTGCCCACCGATTGGGCAGCCGCACTTGTGGCCCGTGCGCTACAAGGAGAAATAACAAAATGTAATCTAAATTCTAATCTGACCTAACCGTACCTACCATAACATAACACCCCGACTCAACGTGTGGTTCGGTGTAACTTAAGTTTGTGTAAAAAAAAACATCGTAAGTATCAACGTGTGGTCTCATTTTCAACCTCAGAAGCCATTCTGGAAAAACATCAATACACTACGCCGGACGCCCGTAAGACCCTCGTGCGCCGAAATTCAGCGTAGGCGATTTTGCGCTGAAATTTTTGTATGATTTGCGCCGAAAGTTGGGTACCTATTTGCGCCATAAATAAGCTATTTCTACATCACATAAAGCACACGGCACACTGCGGGGCACCGCTTGTCCAGGAACTACTGGCACGCCGCGGGGGGGGGGGGGGAGACGGCCAATCCGGTGCAGGTCAGGCTAGCGGGCCCAGTGGCCCGCCCTCATCAGATGCACCGAAACGGCGGCCTTTCGGTCCTCCCGGGGATGGGGGGGGGGGACGACAGTGTACTCCCGAAGATTGGCTTGCATAGTGACTCGGGCCACTTCTGCCGTCCAAAGGCAAAAACGCATATGTCGGGTCAGGTCATGGCCCGACATATGCGTTTTTGCCTTTGGACGGCAGACTTGTCACGCCACTGACGGAGGCCGCACGATGAAGCTGCCTTGTCAGCGAGCGGGCGTCGGAGGGCAATGTTGGCTTTCGGTCCTGGTCCCGGAGAATAAAATTTGTCCGGAGAACCAGCCAGCTTTTCAAACAACCTATAGGAAAGTCATCAGTTTGGCTACTGAACGTTTTAACTACCTGATTAAATGCGTTATTCTCAATGCTATGACTGCATATTTTAGGTGTAATAATAGCAGTTTTTCATCACACAGGCTCGAAAATTTAGAACACTTCAGGTGCCGGAGCAAAAATTTGTAAAGGAGAACAAAATCCTTTGGACCCCACTGTGACCAGCAAAGGGCCTTATTTTCAGCACTGTGACCGAGGGCATGGCATCCTGGGGCGCTTGTTTCGCCAGGTCGTCTGCACGCTCATTCCCTTCGATCCCGCAGTGGAAGGAACCAACTGCAGGATAACTTCACTGCGCTCGGCGATGTTCAACAAGGTCTTCCATATCTCCACACCGAGGGCGGAGGTCTGGGAGGCCGCCCAGGAGGCCGGGCGGACCGGGCGCTAGGAGTAAACTGAAGGCGTCAAGCGGCTCGCAAGTCGGAGCACACGACAACCTGGGGGGAGGGGGGACGTCTCGGCCTGAGCCCTGAACCCTCCCCAGAGCCGCCCGCGAGGTGAATCTGTTGCTAGGTTGACCAGCATGCCAAAATTTTTGGTAGGCCCGCAAGGTGAATCTGTTGCTAGGTTGACCAGCATGCCAAAAATTTTGGTAATCACTTTTTCCCCCAAAAAAGGAGGCCGTCGTCATGTGCCAAATAATTCAGCGGCCTTCATTTCGGCGCAATGAAGCTATGCCGGACGTGCGCTGACATCTTTGGTGTATCCCGCCCTTACGCCAGACAAATTCAGCCTAGCTGTATTTTTCCAGTTTGGATTAGAAGTATGTGTTCTTTCTGTTTTTGTTTTGCAATTTACTTAAATTTTGAAAGGGTGCAAAAGTAGATATCACCATACTTACGGTCGATTTGTGACAGTGGAACTGATTGGCAGTCACTCTGTTCTCCATTGTAGATCCCAGACTGTACAGACTGATAGCAACACGGACTTCGAGAGGCAGAGGTTCACGGACAGCATTGACACTTGGTTCCAATCTATACCTGAGTAAGTTACAGAGCTTGAAAAAGCTGGCTTTTGACATTCGGAAGTTTTGCACCCATCTCTCACTGTCCCATGTCGCAAGTACTTCTCTTAGGAACCACTGATGGCGGATTCGGGGAAGCATCCAGCAGCTTCTGCCTCTGGTGACTCTGTGTTGCTTCAAACTCCATGCCAGAAAGCCAATCAACAGATCATCATCGGAAATCAATTTTAAATGCTTCTGTCTGTGACGCCGCCTTGTCCTCAGTGATTGCCTGCGCTGAATCTCTTGTGTTTGGCACGTCAAGACTCTTATCGCTGCATACAGCACAGTGATTGCTGCAACAGCAACTGCACTTTGAATGCCTTCGACTTCCTCTTGTTCATTCATCGTTTGTGTTGAGCGATCCGAGAGGCTGGGAAAACATCCCACTGAAATGTGACATCACAATCATCAATAAATATCAAAAGCAAGGACACAACTTTCAGCACACAATCGCCTAAAATTACGGAGCTATTATTGCATCACAATTCACGTGTATCGCCTTCGTCACATGCACCACAATTGTACGCTATTTCGTTTCTAATGCGAATTAGCGGCCATCCGAACTGGTCCGAACTAAAGCCGAACAAGATCCGTTTGACGTAGATAAAACGAATTAGTCTCATGTAACCGGTGCCGTAGATACGTTTTTGGGGAGCTGATGCGCATTACCGTAGTACGTATTTGGAACGGATCGCTCATGTAACCCCGGTAATTGTTGTTTTAACTTGCTTTCAAGAGAAACAGAAGCCAGTATCTGATATCACTTCAGATGATTGTTTCAAGATCTGAGTTCAAATGGAAATAAAAGCAAGATCAAGATGAAACAGGGATTATTGCTGTTAAAGTAGTTTGGCCATGATACAACAAGCACATAAATCATTAGCCAAATCAAATACTGGTTGGTTTGTCAAGATGTTTGTTGTCTGTCGTCTGTCGAGCTGCTATGAACACTGAACGCTCTCACTCTTACTTTAAAGAGAGTAGTTTAAGTTGAATGGTAGTGAGCTGTAATTAGACAAAGCAGCTATTCAGTGCTCACATCAAGCCAGGCTAGGAAATGGCATCAACTGTGGTGGGAGGAAGCAGGTTCGGCAGCCCTATGTTGTAAACTTCTGTTATGTCTTGTGTTTGATCAACTGATGTTTTCTGCTCTGTTTTGTGCAGTGATAGTAGCAGGCAACTGCATGCTTGTCAAATTATGTGAATAAACGAATTCATAACATTGCATTTTTCTCTCCATGCAAGGAACAAGTAAGATGTTGTAGAAAATGTAATAGAGGGCTGCATTGCTGATTTTGCACTTTATCAGAGCTTTATTTAGAATTGCTTTCCTGAAAGCTACACACAGGCCACAGTGCTGAAATTCACAATGTCATAGCTTTTGGCAGAAAAAAGAAAAGACTTACCTAGGTAAAATTGGCTGAAAGTATGGCAGAGCAGGTCTTGATGCGTATGCCCATACGTGTGCTTGCCGAAGCCGAACTGACTGCAACACACTAACTCTGACCCACCATGGTGACTGGCATATCCTGAACTTTCACCACTCTAAACAAGACAACTTTCAGCCCTCAGCATTATATTAAAACACTGTACAAAACACTCAAAATTTGTTTCAGTGCCATCCACGGACAACATCAGTCGCCATTCACCAGGCCAGTAAAAACAGAATAGATAATAGCTTCAAACCCATGTAGTCAGAGTTACTAGGTCTGCACCTCAAAACAAAATCCAGGTGACATTCACCACGCCAGTAAAAAACAGGTACTTAGGTAACGTAACAGCTTCAAATCTGGTAACATGTTGGTCGGACTTTACACTACCATATTTACATGGAATAATATGATACCAAACAATAGTGCAACCATTATGGACAACAAAAGTGTATGATAAAATTAATTTAGAATACTCTGGCAGCATGATTTACGAGCACAGGCAGGTGTTACCTACCAGCCTTCTCAATGCTCGTAAAACCAACATTGTAGTCTTGATTTTACCTTACATGATAACACACTTGGCTGCAATGGCACATTTAATTTAATACTGTGAAAGGACCAGTTATAACCACTTCACAAGCACAATTGCACCTCATGCCGACATCCTTTTCCAAAGACAGTCAGCAGCGTCTTTCGTCAAAACTGGAAGATAAATCCCCTTATAACTGTTAACATCAAAAATATTTCTTCATGGTGTGACTGTGATCTCCATATGGAAACCTTGCAGGAAAAGAATTAATGTCAATTGTCAGCTCTTCAAATTTCTTTGGACTTTAACTTGCAGTACCATATCCAGTTTGCTTTGATATTTTGTTTTTTATTCCATGTTGAAGTTGAACACCAAGCTCCAGATATAGCAGGCAGCTTGATCATCTTCGGCCTTGGTATAATATCAGTCCAAGTTCCAGTGGTGGGTATCTTCTAATATTCAAATTAAAATGAAAAGCAATAGGCTCTCTCAGCGCCGACGACGGATTTCACGTTGATAAGAAAGGGAGCTCAAGGTCAGCAAAACTCGGGTTCAAGGAATGGCGGGCGTTGAAATGACTGCTGACGTCATCCAAAAACCGCTAATGGTTAAGAGATAGGGACTAAGCTGGTCCCACCCTGCAAGTAAAGGGAAGAAATTTCTTGAACACCATAAAGCTGCGGGGGTTGCGACCAGGATAAATGGTGGTTTCTGAGCCTGGCCGCAAACTTGGCTATCTCAACTCAAAACTAATGTTAAGGTGGGATGGTCCCTTTAAGATCACCAATGTTTCACTTTTTCTTACAGTGATTGGTCAGTATTTTCATCACTCTAAAATGAAATCACAACTCTCTCACAACTCTCAACAATTATATGGATTTATTACAATTATATACCTACTGCACAAAATAGCGTGTGCTCAAACAAGCTGGAGTAGTGGATTGTACAGTGGATTGTACGAAAAGATGTTGGTCTTATGACGTATACAATATTCCACACGGCTTTCTGCAAGAGAGATTTTAATATCAACTTTCTGTTAGAAAAATCATGTAAAAGTTTTGACTGTAAACATTACACAACTTTACATTTGCCCTTCCAATCCTCGTTTGCATTCAAAATAATATTTTTACACTAAGATCTGCCTAGATTGCCCTATAACTTAGAATGCTTGATGACGCCAATAAACTGAGCATAGAGTGAATTATTCCTTGTTGAGCATTCTTTGAAATATTAGACAAAAAATGCGCATGTGCGACGAACGGGACGAATGAAGGTAAAATTAAAACAGTACGGCGATAGCTTATCACTGCATTTGTTTTAGCTATATTTTGCGATCAGTTACACAACAAAAATTGTTTGAATTCGATTATACTTACTGTTACATTGAAGACGCTCTAAACTATGCTCCAACTCAAAGTACGGCGACTGCAGACTGTTAAAGCATAAAGAAGACTCTATAACATACATATCCTTTCATTGGCTTTTCAAACGGCGCGGGTCAACGATCCCGCCAAGATGCCGCAGCGTCGCGGATTTAGAAAAAAAGGATTTAAAAAGTAAACATCGCCGCTGCCTGGCCGCTTGGAACAGCGTGAGAGTTCCGGTTAGCACCTTGGTCCACTTCATGTGGTGCTTAATCCAAACCATCCAACCAACCATCGGGCCTTTGACGTCGCCAGTGCCACTGGTGCAGCTGAGCATCATCCGCTCGGGCTGCCCAATCTGTAAGAATCTTGGTAGTTGGTGCTGCCAGTGCTGCCCAAGGGCTTATAGCCTTGCCAAGGGCCAAGGCCATGGGTGGAGAACCTGCCCCGGCCACCCCGGCCGTGGCCGGGGTAACTTTCAGCCGACCCCGGCGCGGCCGGGGTAACTTTTTCCACTTTTGTAAATCCTAAAAGCTGTCTCCATACGAAAAAACTGCCATCTATAAAAGTGTCTCTCATTATTTTTATCTACCTTGAAAAGTTCTTGAAAATTTACTTTACTTTCATTTTGGAGCTTATGTTTTTAAGTCTTTTCATCGCGGAGCCCGACATGTTTCATCAAACAGAAGTAAATCATATTTAAGGGCCGTTATCGTAAGATGGCACTGTAATAACATCACAAGACAGGACGAGGGTAATATCAGTGAGATGGAAGGACGAGCTGCTGGGGCTCAAGGCTCCCCCAACTTGACCCGCCCAGGGTGGTGGCCCTATCGTAACACGTTGAGTCGAGAGGTGGGCTTTTCACGCTCCTTCTAACTCGGCTACTGGGCTACGAGGCGAGAAGCGGAACGACGTCTGAAAGAGCGACAAACGTGATCAGAGAAATCTGGTCATGTTTTAGGCAAGCTCAATAATAAAATCACCATAGATCATCAAATTTCAAAAGCCAAATTTCTCTGATTTTAGCGTTCTCCGACAACTTTTCTCACAGTTCATGAACATAACGGAGGTTAACCCGCGCCCGGCTGGGGGTCCTGGATTTCCACGCCCTGCTGGGGGGGGGGGGGGTGTTTGAACACCCCCCTTGTAACTCGGCTCCTGGGCCACGTAGCGATACGCGGAAGGCGGCGTTCGAAAGAGCGTCAAAAATAATGACGAAATCACTTCGGTCAATTTTTTGGTCAGGTCAAAGGTCAGGTCACCAAAGGTCATTGAAGGCAAAATTTCGCCGATTTCCAGGTCGAATGTCGAAAATTTCCAAGAAGCCAACGCATAACTCGGGAACCAATAGAGCTACAGCGCCGCGGAAAAGCGCATTCGATAGCCCTATTAACGCCCTTTCTGAGTAATTCTCTCAAATTTGACCTAACGTCAACGGTTTTGCCTGCAGGGGGCAAAAACTGCAAAAATAGCCGATTTTTTCGGAAACAGTTTTTCTGCAATAACTTTTGACCCAAGCCCTGTACGAGCTTACTTTTACCGGCATCGTGTTCCTCTTGTCAAGACGCATCGAATGAACTATAACTTGACCTTGAAAGGTCAACTTGAAAATTTGACCTCAGGTCAAGGTCATGACCTGACCGGCAAGGGTCATGTTGCATATCAGTCGATCCGTATCGTCGAGCTTAACACATCTAAGGCGTTTTCATCGCTCTAGCATGCCTCTATCAAAAGTTATTTGCGAAAAACTGTTAGATACCATTTATGACCTAAGATGACCTCAGGGCATAAACAAGGGTCACGGACACCATTTTCATGTTCAGTGTATCTAAACCACTTGTAATTCGGTGTTTGGGATTGTTTATAATGTCTTTTGTCCAAAAGAGGCGCATTTCAATTTTCTCCCATTGACTTATAATGGGGAGGTCGCAAAATTGACCTGACCTTAGGTCATCGATATCGAAATTCTGAGATATACATTTTGTACATGCTATTGCTCTTGACAATCGCTAAAAGTTTCAAAGCGATCGGTCACTCGGTGTAGCTATGACAGACATTGAAACTTTTTATGAGGTGAGGTCACTTCAAGTGACCTGGTGACCTGACCTTGAATGACCTTGGTCTGACATTTTCACAACATGTGTAGAATTGATGTATGATAAGGTGTACCAAAAACGGCGGCGCTCCGCGCCGCCGTTTTTTGAGATATTCGCGAAAAACCACAAGGGGGTGTTCAAACACCCCCCCCCCCAGCAGGGCGCGGGTTAAATAAACACTGCAAACAAAACATTCGATTACTCGTTTAAGCCTCGGTCGCGAATAATATTTCAGGTGCGAGCTCAAATCAATGTTCAATAAGAGCCAAGAGGGTCAAAACGGTCAAATTTGACATTTTGTTTTGTGTGTTAAAGGTTGCAACTTCCACGGAATAAGTTTTGCAAAGGGCATGATTGCATTTTTGGCACGGTCATCCAGCAAATTTGACCTGATGACCTGACCTATAGCACTAGGTGACATGCGTCCGAAATTTTAAGTCGTGTTGCAAAATTGTTGTTACAATTACGAAATCTTCCGCACCTGCGTGCAGCAGTTTTCCCTAAAAACGTACAAGCGGCAGACATTCATTATTCTATGCCACAGAATAGGGGTTTGTTGATAACCGTTGACAAATATTTGAGCATCATTGTCTTTCTGACTTTCGGTCGCCGGCCGGGGTAACTTTTTCAAACATTCTCCACCCGTGGCCAAGGCCAAGGCCAACGCTAGTTCTCTATATACGGTATACCGGGGTCCTAAACACCCAAGGCCGTATATAGCGTTGTATAGCTTACCATGACATCAACGTTATATTGATAAAGCGTTGCCATGGTAAGAATCTTGGCCATGGTGTCTAGTGACTGGCGACAGCCAAGTAGGTATCTCTAGACATTAATAAGACGCTTGGCGTTTCGCGTGGTATTTGTGTCGGAACTCGGATGTGACTAAATTGACACTCGGATACAGGTGTTGTTACAATTGTTACAACCACATCACTCCAGTCCCCAGTCCCCACGTCACGCAAAACTCCGCCGGAAGCTGTTTTGCCTAGTCAGGATGCGGTGATGCGACTCTGACACGCCAGTCATCCGTCCGTTCAGGACCAGGTTCCCGCCCAGTTCAGTCTGATGAACCACTCTGAACTACCTCACTCAATCCAGTTCAGATCCGCAGTAAAATAACCCAACTTTGCGGGTCGCTTTGTCGCTGCACCTGTGATGTCGCCTGTATAGGTTCTTGGTCCTCACTCCTCTGCCATTTTGTTTCAGTCACTGCAGCATTCCACTCCGGTGTGCTCGTACATACATGACCGGCGACAAGGATATAATCGGGGAATGCCTCACCATCACCGGTAGACAGTGATCCCGTGCGCCTCTAGAGGTCGGCTATCAGAGAGGTCAGGTCGGAGATGGAGAGGTCAGAAGGTCATCGCACATACAATGCCAAATCAACGTGTCGGTAGTGGTGTTGGATATAATTGCGAAAATGATTTCCAGTCGCGTCACGCTCCGTATGCAAACAATAATAATTTTGCGCCGAAACTGATAGCCGTATCGAAGCTGCCGCGCCATTGCAACTCTTCTGCGATTAGAACGCAGTTCAATGTCTAGCGCTCCTATTCACATCATTTGCGTCCCAGTAGTTCGACGAAATCATCGACATCCATGGAAGGAAAACATTTCATTCGGGTACTAATAATAATATGCTAGACATATATTTATTTCTCCATATTCCATTGTGGTTCTATCACGGTATCACCGGTTCGATCAGTGATACCCGATGCAGGGATGATCAGAATTCCGTACTGCTTGCAAATTGGAACGATTGACGTATTTTCTGCAGAGAGGACCTGATGACCTCCACACAGCGTTGTGTATTTCGTATCCTTAAGTGTGTGCGTTTTCTTGTGTAGGTACCTATTTCTTGTGTTATCTTCAACCAGCTCGGACTCGGAGTGTAATCGCCACGCCGATTGTGGATTGCTCTTGATCGTCAATACATACATACTGTAACCGCGTTTCGTCAACTACCATCAATAGAGAAGGACAGTTAGGATTGCCCCAGTGATGTATTGCAGCAGTAGTCCATTCATTTGTCACGTAAAAGCTGCAACAAACACGCACAGATCACGCACCGTCAGTCACATGAAGCTCATGCAGTGCTCATGCACGATTCATGCACGACAGCCCTGCGCAAGAAGCTATGCGGACAAGACAATCGAGCAAGCATTCTAGCGATTTGTTTGACAGTGCATTATTCACAAGCAATCATTCACATTTTGTACTGTCTGGCGTCTGCTGAACATTCTGTTGTGATCAGTGTCAATTCAAAGTAGTGGCCAGCTCATTAGAAAACAAATGACTCCATAGCGTAGCCACAGTTGACCGCAGACATTTAACACATAAACGTATGGATACGTACTTCGTTTGCAAG